AAGAAGGGAGAAAGGAGTGGGGTTAAGACAGGTAGGGGTTATTACAGTGCTTCAGGGGGTGAATTGGTCTCCTAGGGCCAATTAGTACAAATGTGCAAATTAGTACAAATGTGATGACATAAAATAATAGAGATGTATTCTCGTACAGTTCCAGAGGCCAGAAGCTGGAGATGGAGCTGTCAGGAAGATCATACCTCTTCCAAAAGCTTAGGTTCTGGTGGCTCTGTGCATCCCTCTGCTTGTGCTCACATCATTCCCATCTCTGCCTTCCCGTCATTCCCATTACGTCCCCTTCTCCTCTGTGCCTGTATTTCTCCCTCTTCTGCCTGCCAAATTTCCCTCTGTGTCTCTCACAGGACACTTACTGGATTCGGGGCCCACCTGGATAATCCAGGTGACCTCTTCAAGATCCTTACCTTAATGATATCTGCAAAGACCATTTTTTCAAACAAGGTCACAGTCATAGCTTCTAGTAATTAGCATTTTGGGGTACCCTGATATGACCCACTACAGGAAACATATCAGAATCTTGGGGAGAATGTATATAAGGAAATAATATTTTCTAGCATAATTCCCCTGCTTCTCTGATCTAGGGTCTTGTTTCATAACTACAAGTTTTTTATTTTGCTGAGTGTACAGCTTTGGCACTATAGCTAAATCAACCAAGACATTAAAGGGGACTAAGGGCCACATACAGGAAGGCTGGAGAGGAGGGAAGGAGCCAACTGATAGCTGAAGAGAATTTAGATTACAAAATATATTTATTCCATCAGCAAGTATTTATCTCACAAGCCTACATACGCTAAGCTTTGTGCTACGTGTTGGGGATGAACCAGACACACAGTACCTGCTCTCAAGGGTGCGGTCACTTTCCCTGCGATGTTCACGTCAACCTTCTCCACACTCTCCCCCCAGAATCTTCAGCGATCTGCTAATGCTTGGCAGAGGAGTTAGAGTGGGGAGATGGGACGAAATACTGTCTCCTTCCTGGGATGGAATGAAGCAAAGCCAGAGGTTTTCCTTTTCTTTTTTTTTTTTTGAGACAGAGCCTCAAGCTCTCCCCCTGGGTAGAGTGTTGTGGCATCAAGGTTCACAGCAACCTCCAACTCCTGGGCTCAAGCGAGTCTCCTGCCTCAGCCTCCCAAGTAGCTGGGACCACAGGCGCCTGCCACAATGCCCAGCTATTTTTTGGTTGCAGCCGTCATTGTTGTTTGGCGGGCCTGGGCTGGATTCGAACCCACCACCTTAGGTGTATGTGGCTGGCGCCTTAGCCACTTGAGCCACAAGCGCCAAGCCAAAGCCAGAGGTTTTGTGTTGTTTACGTGCTCTAGGGCCAGGGAGGGCTCTTTAGGCCTCAAGCATCCACTTCCTCCTTCCTATGGCAAGAGCATTTTGATGTGTTTAACTATCTCTTCCCATTGTGCATGGTTGAAATGGGACTATCAGTCAACTGTTTTTCCCTGAATTCCTAGCCACAGGAGAGGCACAAGGTCCAAGCCGGGTCAATGAGACTCGGAATTTGAATCCTAAAGGGAGAGATAAAGGAACAGGATCAGATGGAGCTGGTTTAGCCCAGTAAGAAATGTGGTGAAGCCATTGCCTGCTGCCCAGGCCCCTGTTCCCCTTTCCACGTGAGTTTTCTCTGCAGAATCTGAGAGCTATTCTATACAGCTTTAATAATTCCCTTTTTGCTTAACTTAGCCTGAGTCCTTTGAATCTTACTTGTAATTAAAAAACACCATCACTGCCTGATTCATGTGATCATGAAGTCTCCCTGGTCTACAGGTGATAAGCACCTGGCTGTGGGGACAGATGCATCTTACAATCTTAGAACCTGGCTTACTACTTCTACATCAAGAGTTACGACCAACATCCAAAGACTCCCTTAAACTAACAGTGATTGCCCCACTAGCAAGGACACTTAAGAGTATCAGTGCCAGTCCTCAGGAAAGGCCAAAACACTGACAAGGGAGATCAGATTCATCTGGGTCAGGTTAAGGTTTCAAATGACAAGTCAAGCTTAGTAAACATTTCCTAAGTAATCATTGCACCTAAATTCGATTCTGCACTCCCTGTGGGTCTTTCTGGTCCCAGTAACATGACAATGGAGTCTCCTTCTTTCTTAATACATGTGCGTTTGTACACGCCTCTAGAGAATTCCTCAGGGGAGAGAAAGCTAAATTTATACTTTCAATTAATCTTCCCAAACGTCCTTTGCTTACCTTCATTTCTACTAAGTCTCCTTTTGCCCAAATCATCCCCTAGTTTCAAACCCATTAGCAGATAATTACACACTGTAGATAAAAGCTGTTCTGCCTTTTTTTAAAAAGTGTTTTAATTTTGAGTCCATTTTTCCTGTTACTCTCCAACCTCTTCTGACATCCTATTTCAGGGTACTATGATTCCCTTAAATGAACCAAAATCCTTCAATGTTCTTAGACCAGGCCATCAGCTCTCTGCCTACACAGGTCAAATTCCTACTCACCCTATAACCTCAGTCATATTCAGTGCAGTGAACACATAAGCTCCTGCATGAGGCAGGCCCGTACAACACATTCCCTCCTGCCCTGGGAATGCAGCCAGAAGATGCGGTCCTTGTCTGGATGATGCCTACAGACCACAAGAGACAGTAAGCAAAGGGTCCCAGGTGTGATGGGCATCACGTAGCAGAGATGGACCTTGCCTTCAGGTACAGATAGGCCTCTCCTCGATGAAATGATGATTAAGCTGGGCCCAGAAGGATGGTGATGGAATCAAGAGAACTGCTTCTCCCTTGCCGGGGCCTCCTGCAAAGCTGTCTCCATTTCAGGAAGACACCATGTCCTGAAGTTCATTTTAAAGTTGATGGGTTTGGAGCTCATACTCCATTTTTCCACAGAAATGCCCTTGCCAATAGTGCTATTTCCAGGTTGGGCCACTAGTACGTAATTATTTATAACGTGTTGCCCCAACAATACCATACGTAGCATCTCACCGAGCTTGTTTGTATGAGTCCTCCTCATTAAGTCCCAGTGATTTTCTCTCAGGGAGGTCCCTCCAAGGCAACCTCCAGTCCCACTGCCTCAGTTCAGGCTGACCCTTCCCTTAAACCTGCACTGTGACAACCAGCACCAAACAAGGTCATCCTGTCTCCCAGTTTCTGCTCTCTCTGGCCTTCTCCCCTTGTTACCTACTTTATAAAGAGCAGATGTGAAGGCTTTTCAATGGTTTCCCTCTGGCCACAGATTGGGGGACAGACTATGACACAAAAGGTTTTTTGACATAAAGCCCCTATCTTTCCAGCCCTGGTCCCTGCCCCTCCCTGGCCAGATTCTACTTTTCCAGCCACGGTTCTTCCCAAAAATGTCTGGCTCTTGCTGCTATCCTTGCTGTTTCCTCCACCTAGAACAGCTTTCCTCATCTCAGTCTGGAACTGCCCATCAACCTTTTAATACCTAGGCACCCCCCTCCCCAAGACATTTTCTCACTTCTACTCTGGCAGTCTGTCAAGTTGGGATTCTAATTACTCATGTTCACATATTCAAAAATACTAGTGTCCCTGCACTGGGCCAAGCTGTCTGCTTCGGTAGAAAGAACAAAGCCCGAAGATGGAGGCCTTGCCCATTACACCTGCTCTGCCTGCCTCATCTTACAAGAGGTCTGAACTCAGAGACGGGTTTGTATCTCATCTTTGGCATCTTCTGGCTGCCTGACCTTCATCAAATTACTTAACCTCCTCCAGTCTTAAGTTCCCTTATCTGGAAAGCGTGGATACGACCACTTATTTACAAGTTACTTTAAACACTGGCTCCCAAAGCCAGTTGAGTATCAGAATCACTGGGAACATAAAATACATGTAGAATGGGAATGATTCAAGAGATCTACATTTGTAAAAAGTCTCAAGGGCTTCTTGTGTAAAGCCAGATTGGAAAACCACAGCTTGGAAGTTTACTCATAAAATATATGCCAGTATTAATTATGCTCAATACTCAGGAATGTCCTTGAAATTGGAGTTCCTACTCTAACAAGAACAGATAAAGGGGGAGCATGTAAAACAGAGTCCTGGGCTTAAACCACACACGTAAGGGATCACATCACCGGACATGGCAGCCTGTCTCCTAGCTCCAATCACGTGCTATGCTTGAAAGCAAACAAGTAAACTGCCAGTAAACACGTTTGCTCAGGTTAGCCTTCTAACAAACAGTGAAAGGTCCAGGAGGAATTGAGTAACTTTTTCTGAAGGTTAAGCTTTGTTAAGTTACTGCTGAGAATGGATAAGGAGAAGGGGCCTCAGAACAGAGTTGGCCATGAATGAGGATGTTGTCAACTACAACACTGCTTGTTGGATCAGGGTCATTCAAAAGACAGCTCAGAACACAGTCATACCAGCAATGTGCTGTCCTTCAAAGTAAGCAGGATCTTTCCTTTCTGCTGTTTCAGTTTCCCCACAAACAAAAAAGGGATGCACAACCCTCTTCTGTCGCCCCACCTTGCCGTGAATGAAGTGGGCCTGCCACTGGCTTAGGACAGACTTGGATGGTTCAGCCACAGGAAAAATAAGGCTCAGAAATGGCATGGTAATTGCTTTCTAGTCTCTGTGAGTCTTATAAGAACAAGGGATTAAACTAATTCTACAGTTTCAGGACACACCTAGGGGTAGAAGCTACAGAAATGCCATAAATCCTACTACAATCAGATGTGACTCCCCACCCAAAGTTCAGAAGCATCCTGCTTCACTGAAATGAAAATCCAGGAATTTTGCTTCCAGGAATTAATCAGATATAATCCACACATGAATAAAATCACGTACAAAAGGTTTGCTATATCTTCGGATTGAATAAGGAATAAAAACAAAACCAAACCAAAAAAGGTTGCTGTAACAGCACTCTAGAGGTCACTCTAACAGCAAAAAGACACCGAGCAGTTCCTTAATGCTCACCAAGAGATGACTGCTTAGGGATGTTACAAAGTACCTACAAGAGACAGCAAAGCAGGGATACAAAAACTTAACACAGACAACCTTAAAGTCGGTACCTTTTAATTTACAATTTTTACCAATAAAAAGGATTAGTTACAAAAAGGGAAGCCTCTATACAAAATTGTTTTTTCCATTCATAAAGAGAACCACTGTCATTTCTTGCCTTGCCAAGTCAAAACTCAAATAGCCTCTTTTCATAAAATTATTCCAGAAAGACAGGCAATCCAGACAAAATCAATAACATTGATTCCTAACAGCTTCCTAACCCTATTTAGGAGAAAGAATTTTAAATACTTGTAAACCTTTAGAGAAACAACTACTCTTAAGCAGCTGACTTGGTAAGAGGCTATACCAGAGACTCCAGCTCACTTACCATTAGAATTTTCTTACACATACAGTGAGTCTCCACTCCTGTACAGTGAGTACACATACAACATAACAGGAATAATGACTTTTAAAATTTTACAAGTAAATTTTATTGGGGCCACAGATCAACAGCAGAACATATGACAGTTAAGGTTCAGACTCTCCCCACCTATTTTATCATATAAATTAAATATGGAGAGGTACACACAAATAAACTTTATTAAAAATGAGGAGTGGTTTTCAAACTCCCATGTCCTCATATAACACACATCACCATGTAAGAGTGGGGTAAGAAGAGTCATACGGTCAGAGCTCATGTCCTGAAAAGAAATGATAAAAACGTTCAAAGCCTTTTCAGTTGACTCAAAGTACGGCAGCCACTCAACACTGCTCCTAGCAGTCTACTCTCAAAATAAAAACGTAAAATAAAATAACTGTGTGAAACAGCATAGCCTTCAATAAACTTTATTTGGTGATGAGCCAAGCTCTGATGGAAAAAACCCACCTATGAAAAAGGAGTTGTGGGTATTGAAGCTGGTCTGATTCAGAGCTTGTACATTCATAACTCAAAATAATAAAGACCCTCAAATTGATTCCAAAGCCATATATCCCAAAATTTTATGATTCACTTAAACGTGCTTGTATTAGCTTTAAAAAATTATCTACGTGTGAAGAGCTGCACCTTCCTCACAATTAACTGAAGCACTTCACCAAAAAACTGAGGAGAGAGGGTACCAAAAAATGACAATGTAAGCAGGGTACGAGGTTGTCTCCTCCACCTTACTGGACGAACATACTTCCAGGATGAGAAGGAAATGGAATCAATGCTAAGGAGCCTCTCAAAGAGAGCATCTCCCTGTAGCCAATGTGATTTGGAACCTCCTAACACAATGCTCTGGGTTCACAAAGCCAAGATGCCCTACAACTTATGAAACGTGAAGCCATCACGTCTGCCAGGGTTTACACCTAATCTGTGTTAGATACAACTCCACTAGTTTTCCATTACTTAACTCAGGGAAAAAACACCCAGCAACAACTCTCCAATCTCACGAATACCATCTGTGCCCTCCCTGACCCAGTGGTGCTGCTCTGTAAGAACACCTGAAGAGATGGCAAATGGTTGCAAGTGACGTCAGGTCGAAGCGATTCCAAAAGCTGAGAAGGCTCTTCATCCACTGCTCTGTCTTCTCCCCTACTGGTACCATTCTGCCATCAGAGGGGAAAAAATTATGTGAACAAGTTCTTCGTGACCAAGCCTTGGCAAAAGTCAATCAAGAAGAGAGCTCATCAAAGGCAGAACCATTTTATGGGCTTCTTATGGTTCTCCTGTAGTTGCAAATGTGGAGGTTGGGAAAGTGGGAAGGAGGCACGTGTGCAAGAAAGAGCTAAGAGTCCTCGTGACAAGGGTTCGGTTGCCCAATCCCAGACGCCCAGCTGAGGGCCAGCAGACCAGGACCTGCCAAAACCCATTATTCAGACGGAAAGGAAGGAAAAGAAGACACCAAAAAATACAGTCAGTTTTGAAATTTGCAGTTGATATTTGTTCTTCATAGCAGTAAGGACTTGAACGAGAATCATGAAACTTGAGGAACACTTATATTTCTCTTCAGGATTTAAAAATTTTGTGTCATACTGAAAGACTACATTCAGTGAGGGTCAGGTCCAACAGCATCAGCTAGAACTCGGTTGTGAAGCGCACCCAGCACTGGGAGGAAACGTGGGCTGAGAGGAGCGGCTGGAGGGCAGGCCAAGGCCACTCCTTCACTGGTCTCCAAGCCGAAAGCCCTGGCCCCAGTTATGTCTCCCACCTCCACCATTCTGATCAGCAGCTCGTCTCATGCTAGCGGGGGGCACACCAAATCCTGACACCCCTCCTCTCCGACTAGGCAGCCAGCGGTACCTGGAGCAGAAAGAGGGAGAGAAGAGAACAAAGTCACTTCCACACAGTCATCTGACCTCTCCCTATCCTGGGTTCTTGTGGCACTTTGAAGAAAGCCAAGAACAATGTCTTATTTAACTTTGCCTTTTCTGTGCTTAGCTCAATGACCTGACCACAGATGGCACTTGCTTTACATGTTTCTCAAATTGACTAAGCTTTCAGCTAAACTCACATTCTAAACATTATTTTTCTAATTATAAAAGTAACCCAGGACGGGCACAGTGGCTCTTGCCTGTAATCCCAATGCTTTGGCATCTCTTGAAGCCTGGGCAACATAGGAAGACCTTGTTTCAAAAAATAATAATAATCAAAAATTAACTGGAATAGCCAGGCATTGTGTTGGGCATCTGTAGTCCCAGCTACTCAGGAGGCCGAGGCAAGAGAATCACTTGAACCCAAAAGTCTGAGGTAGCTATGAGCTATGACGTCATAGCACTCCACTGGGGGTGATGAGACTCTATCTCAAAAAAAATTAACTGGGCATGTGTATGATGGCACATGCCTGTAGTCCCAGTTACTTGAGAGGCTGAAGCAGGAGGATTCCTTGACCCCAGGAGTTTGAGAGGCTGCAATGAGCTATGCTCGCACCACTGCACTCCAGACTGGGCAACAAAGTAATCCTGTCCCTCTCTTAAAAAAACAGAAGTAATCCATGTTCAACAGCATGAAAACAGGAATACTACACTTATAAGCCTAACAACCAAAACCCAACATCTTGGTATATCTAACACAGATGAAACTGGATTGAAGGATACAAAATAAATTCACTTTTTTTTTTTTTTTTTTGAGACGGAGCCTCAAGCTGTCCCCCTGGGTAGAGTGCCGTGGCATCACAGCTCACAGCAACCTCCAACTCCTGGGCTCAAGCGAGTCTCCTGCCTCTGCCTCCCAAGTAGCTGGGACTACAGGCGCCCGCCACAACGCCCGGCTATTTTTTGGTTGCAGCCGTTATTGTTGTTTGGCGGGTCCGGGCTGGGGATTCGAAAGTGCCACCTTAGGTGTACGTGGCTGGCGCCTTAGCCGGGATAAATTCACTTTCAAAAGACAAACTCACAACCTGGGTATTTGAGTCCCACACGGCATTTCCATGCGGCTCTCTGCTGAGCCCACCAAGTGAGACTAGGAAGAAGGCTTTCAGTCTTAGAGATTTAGGTACGTTCTTCAACTGCATTCTTCACATCTTACAGTGGTAGGTAGGAAAACCCCCAAAGTTAAGTGACTTCCCATCTTAAACATTAATAAATTAATAGTCACAAAACAACTAAGAAAATGCAAACTCTGGCTTGGCGCCTGTAGCTCAGCAACTAGGGCGCCAGCCACATATACCAGAGGTGGCAGGTTCAAATCCAGCCCGGGCCTGCCAAATGACAATGAGAATTAGAACCAAAAAACAGCTGGGCATTGTGGCAGGCGCCAGTAGTTCCAGCAACTTGGGAGGCTGAGGCAAGAGAATTGTTTAAGCCCAAGAGTTTGAGGTTGCTATGAACTGTGACACCATGGCACTCTACCCAGGGCGACATAGTGAGACTCTGTCTCAAAAAAAAAAAAGAAAATGCAAACTCAAGTCTATGCTCTCAATAGCATTTTTCAACTACTTCTCACCCTTGACTGTATTAAAAAACTAAGAATGTTTAAACCTATTCTACTTATCAGATCCTAACGCTTAAAACTGTGCTGGAAGGCATACAAGGGTGTCCAACCTGCAGCTTATGGGCCACACAAGAATTATGTGAGGACTGTTTTGCTTATCTGTGGTATCAGATACTGTCAAAGTTACACGTGGGCAGTTTTATTTTTTTTTTTTGCTCATCAAGTGTTTGTTAGTATTTGCATATTTAATGTGTGGCCCAAGACAACTCTTCTTCTTCCAACAAGCAACAGAGAAGAAAAACGGTTGGACATGCTGAGAGAGTACAATCTGACAGCTTTGCGTGGACCCCTCTCCACACCAAGAGTCAGCCATGACAGGAGACTTGCCCGCAGCAGAAAGCCTGAAGAGCATGCCAGTAAACTCACTCAAGGAGCGTTTACCTCACGCCAGGCCTGGCTTGTTTATAAATTCATCAGATCTTCACAACAATCCTGAGAGGTAGATTTTACCTCCATTTTTATAAATAAGAAAACTGAGACAAGATTGAGGGAAGCTCTTTGAAAGTGACAGTCAGGACTCAACCCAGGCAGCAGGGCCCTGGGGTTTACATCTGTATTGCTTACTCCTGCTTGGTGGGGACATAAGTGGAAGGACAGAGAGTGACCGCAGAGTCAGAGCCCCCATTTGTTTACATCATACTTGACACCTTCATATTCCTTCCCAAAGAAGATACTGACCCCTTTTAAACATAACATTAACTGTACAGAGAAGATAGAACTGTTTTTTCTAAAGGGAATGCAAAATACCAATACATATTAGAATTCTACAACTCATCTCTTCCCTTTTAAATAAATATAGCTTTATCATTAAATCAAACTATATTTTCAAGTCCCAGTTTCTCAACAGCCCTATTCTTCCAAAGTACATAATAAAATGGAACACTTACAAACGGCAATGCTAGGGCTGTCTTGCTTTGCTACTTACTCTAAGACAATACAGAAGCCATCTCCATTGCTTAAGCAGATAGGGAAATTAAATGCAAGTAATTAGAATAAAAAGACACCCAATTATACATAATCAACAAAAATTTATGATAATTTCAAAGCAGTTATTGCTTTTGCAAGGAGCTACATTTTGTCATCTGATCTTTATGCAAAAATCTAACAGAAGGGCTCCCACCAACATAAAAAGCTCAAGTGGAAGGCAGGCTCCCCGGTGCTGCTGACTTGGCCACTAGAACCTCGTATACACTTTGTTGCCCACAACTGAGTAGTCTCTACAGCCGTTAAGTCAGAACATGGCCATTTAAAGTAAAGTAACTATTGGCTGCCCCCCAAAGCACCAAGCTTTTTTTAATTGATGCATCTGCCATCCTACTTGATAGACCTAGATCAGAAATCCAAACCTGCTGTTATGATGTCCTTTGATAATTAGAAAGCAGATTGGTCATTTGTTTTTTTAGCCTGAAGGCAACTCAAAGCTCAGAAGAGAAACAAGTTTCTTTTTATTCTCTTAAAGAAAAACACACACACCTGACAATATTCTACTTCTCTGTATATCAGGGTTCATAATAAAGAAGTTCTTTTAAAAACATACCCCTACCCTATCAACGACAGAGGGGTGGGTAGAGAGGGCCTACCAAGCTTGGAGGAATGACAAAACTGCAAAACATTAAAAATGAACAAGATGTGAAAGGGTTTGTTTTTTTTTTAAAGCTTTTAAATGCAAGCGATTATTGCATATCCCCAACATGAGATTAGGCTGATTGTCAGGCAGGCTGTGACACCCAGATGGTGATTTAACTGGTCCCTTCTTCAGCAGCCTTTTGCCTCACTGACAGAACGGTCATACTACTTAAGCACTTAAACACTGCAGCATCTCTTCTCGGCTCGTCAAACTCCCATCCCCACCCTCAGGAATCTGTTGAAGAGCTTTCGTTTACTGAGTACTCATTACTGTGAGACGGGGGCTCCCTCACAACTTACAGCCTTGCAAACTGAAGCTTGCAAGAGTAATTAAGTAACTTTCCCAATATTAAAACTGGCACCTGTAAGAGGATTCATACCCAAGACTGTCTCAAAAGTCAAAGCTATTCTGCTTAGCCTCCTCACTTTAGTAAACCCTATAAGCAGAAAAAGAGCACATAACCGCAGAAAGTCAGACTTTACAAATTTCAAATCTCTCATTTTAACTTTGAACAGTCCTATAAAATTTCTATTCTATAATATTTAATATAAAAACATTTAAAGTCCCTGACCAATGGGCTAACTATACATTCCCTGGCCAAATTCATGATAAAATTAATGCTACAATAAAAGACACCCCTGATACCCTGATCATCCCCTAGACTAGTGCTGAGATGCAGAGCTGAGCCTGTGATGTCAGCTAGTTGTCAGTGGTCCCTGGCCAAAAGGGTGCCAAGAAAGAGACCAAGCCGTGGCTTTGATCCCTAGTTTCCTGTGACTGTGTAACTATAGTAAGTCATCTGTTGGTTCACATTTCTCCATCAGACAGAGCCCCTATCAGAATTCATGAGAACACAGGCAGTAAAATGACTGCTAGATGAAAGAGGAAAAAAACACTTACAAAAACTGGGGTGTGGAGAGAAAATTTCTTCCTCCCAAGTCCATTGGGTATCTGAACATTAGGAAAAAATAAAGATGTCCAACAAGATTTCCAATAAGCTCATTGATTACCCTGCAAACAGAGAGCCAAGTTAGTTTAAAGACATGCAAGCAATATAGGGAGATGCAGTGAGTTTTCACTAGTAACACAAGGAAGAGATGCTCACTGCACTCCACATACAGTCCCTGGGAGTCTGTGACAGCTCCACAATGAGCCCTTTTGTAGTGTGAGTGGCAAATGCACCCTGAGGAAAGGGGAAATCAGCCCTGCCCGACCAGTGAGGCCTGCTGCTCTTCAAGGCCAGCAGCCCCTCTGACATTTCTTTCAAGCACCAGCCCATCCTCAAAATATTGTTTTTGCTACTTCCTGCCCAGGAATTGGGGAAGCTGCAAAGCCAGCTTCTGAACAAACACAGTCATGAATGCTGACTTTGAAAAACATGAGCCAATATGAAGGCTACCAAGGCAGAAGCATGGGAGTAAGGAAAAAGTGCACAACAAATGCCCGCTCTCCCTTCCCACGAGAGCCGCTAAGCCCTTCTCTTTTGACTGTGTGGGTGTAAGACACCACAGAGATCACTTAGGAAAGCTTTCACACTGTCAGCCTAAAATAAACATCAACCTTCTTCAGTTTTCCCATGGCTTACATACAGGTCACCTCAAGATTTGAGATCCGCTGTTGCTTCTTTGTCTTCACCTGCCAACACGATTCCTCCCAGGCCAAATCAATACCTGCAACTACCCCAGACTCTGCCCTTCTGGATGGGAGAACAGCTTTCCCCAGCTCATTATGTGCTATGCCCTAAACAGTCCATGTGCCCCATTTGTTCACTTCTCCCTATCTACATGCAGAAGTTAGGATCACACAGAACAATTACATGGCAGATGAACTAGCAGGTTTTTTCCTTTGTTTTTTTAGAGACAGAGTCTCACTTTGTTGCCCTCAGTAGAGTGCCATGGCCTCATAGCTCACAGCAACCTCCAGTTCTTGGGCTTAGGAGATTCTCTTGTCTCAACCTCCCAAGTAGCTGGGACCATAGGCACCTGCCACAATGCCCAGTTATTTTTTTGTTGCAGTTTAGCTGGGTTCAAACCCACCATCATCGGTATACAGGCCCAGCGTCCTACTCACTGAGCCACAGGTGCCACCCAGAACTAGCAGTTTTAACGTCTACTAAAATAGTGAAAATATTTTACAGTGTAAGAAATGGGAGTTCTTAGAATACGTGCATCTTGATATTTTCTCTTTAAAAATCTGAGTTTAAATAAAGGTTTTCTTACGTCTCAGTTCTAATTCCAGATCAACAGACTATGGTTGGCCAAAACTTCTGTACTATCAAACCACTCACAAAACTACTTTCTATCTGAGAATCTGCATCTCTATGACTGCTCAACAGTTCAAGGCATTCTGGAAATGCTTTAAGAATATAAGACCTGGCTCGGCGCCTATAGCTCAACCGGCTAAGGCGCCAGCCACGTACACCTAAGGTGGCGGGTTCGAATCC